GGGCCAGACGCCCCCCCCATGAGGGCCCGGGCTGTGGGGTACCGGCTCACACACCGCCCCGTGAGGCACTGATCAGCCCCGCAGAGGTGTCCGGGCCATGGGCAAACCCTCCCCACCGCTCCCTCCCACCTTCTCCATGAGGATCTTGTCGCTCTCGTGGACGCCGCCCTCCCCGAGCTGCCGGTCGGCGAACCCGAGCGGGCCGCGGCCCTCGGCGGCTCCGCGGGGCCTGCGGACAGAGAGGCGGGCGGGTGGGTGAGCGGCAGCTCTGGGTGTCCCGGCCATCCCGGGATGCCGTGCCTCACCGTCCGCCCGGCGCTGCCCCCAGATCCAGCGACCACTTGAAGCGACGGCTCCGGAGCGCCGCGGCCGCCGCCATGTCMGCGCCGGGTCACGTGGGCGGGTGCGTGCGCGGTCACGTGGGGGGCCACGTGAGGACACCCCCACACGTAGCGGTTTCCCCTTCTTTCGTGTTTTTCACCCCAAAGTTCTGCCGCRGGTTCTTTTCTTCTTTACTGGGACTTTTTTTTTTTCTTAATGGTTTCGTGCAGTTTTTTTCTGTGTGGGTTGATCAGTTTTTCTTGGTAGGGGTCGGCACTCCCTGATTACGCCCCCATTTCACATCTATCCCCGAACCCCACTGCACCCCCTCATTGTCCCAAACTGTTCCCCACATTACTGCCCCCATATCCCCACTGAACCCCCCTATTCCGCCCCATATACCCCACTGCCGAGCGCAGTTCCCTCCCACTGGACCCGCTGCTGCCCCTCACAGCCCCCACAGACCCTGTTACTGCCCCTCACTGATCCTCCCCATTGACCCCATAGCCCCCCGCCTACCCTCGCTGCGCATGCGCACCGAGACGCGCCAGCACCACCACGGGCACCCAGTGGTCCATTCACATCACGTGATCCTACCCAATACGCCTCCTTATTGGCCGCAGCGCTATAAGCCCCGCCCAGGAAGGTAAGACATCATCGCCGCGCGGCCATTCTGAGAAGGTCACAGCACAGCTATAATCATAATAAACGGCTGTGTCGCCATCTTGAGTGTACCAGCCCATGTG